ATATGTATATTATAATATAAAATGTGTGTTTTTAAAAAATGTATGATTTATGTGCGATATAATTTATAATGAAAATATTTTCTTATAAATTAACATTTTGACGAATAGATTAGAAAAATCAAATAAATACATTCTTATGAGAGTGATTATATTTTGATGTTTTACTTTTTTAATAAATTTACATGATAAAAAATTTCAGATTCATTCGTCAAAATTACAATTTATTAGAATATATTTGTATTCATATTCTGTTCTTTCTTCATTTTTATTCTTCATCTAATAATAATTCATCTAACTAAAATAAATAATTTTTATTCTACAAAGATATTATAAATATTTATATATTTATCATTGTATTATATGTATATTTATATAAATATATACAATATATATATATATATTTTTTTAACAAAAAAATTATTTCAAATTCTATAAAAATTTCTTATCTAAATTTATAACATTAAAATATAAAGTTATTAGAATAATTCCAATTTTATATCTTGTTATATATATTTAAAGATATATAATTAAAAAAAAAAAAAAAACAAAACGAAGATGCAGAAATATAAATTTAGAATTAGAAATAAAAATTTAAACAAAATTTTAAAGTGATAAATAAATAAGCTTTATTGAAAAAAAAAAAAAAAATTACATCACAAATTGTAATCGAACTTCTCTAAATAAAATTGTATTTTCTTCGAAATGTATATAAATAAATTTATACAATTTATAACATCACTCGGCTAGGAGGATTTATGATTATTAATAGATGTTCAATATATTCGTCATTACAATACATGTGTGTATGTATCATACATCGTTAAATAGAAAACGTAAAATGCTACATATTAGGTTTCAAATGAATATTAGTCATACATTAGTTTTAGAAATATACACATATACATATGTATTTTGCATCAAATTTTAAATTTGCACATTAAAACAATTAAAACATTTTTTCCCCAATATTGTTTTCGAATATAAAATATCGATCTCTCTAAATTTAAGAAAGTTTGATTTATTAAATTTGAATACAATAACAATAGTGCTTATAAATGCTACTTTTTTCTATTATTAATATAAATACACTTAAGTAATAGAATTGAGAATAGTAATAAGAGATGTATGATTACATCTTGAATTTTGTTTTATTAATTATTAAGAGAAAGGAACATGAAAATCATATTAAATCATATGTATTTGATATATTATTAGATCAGTTAAAATTTAGAGATAGTAGATTAATGATAACGAATACATTTAAAAAAATAATTTGTATTATTCGGATCTCTAATAATTATTTTTACAAATATCATTGTAAAAATATGAATATGCAATAAAGATGAAAAATGTTGATAAATATATTTCCGATCGAGTGTTAGCAATTATTAGTAGAAAATACATATTAGACGAAAGAGATACTATGAAGAAGAAGGGGTAGATCTCGGAGTGGGAAATAACGAGCGTTGGAACGTCTGCGAGAGTCGTGTCGCTACTTCCGAGGAAATAACATCTTATAGGACACTTTGTAAGTTCACGTACAAAATACTATCATGCTGTTTGGTTAAAATTTTTTTTGCATTTATATATATATACTTGCATGTTATCCGTTAAAACGGATAGATTAATATTAAATTGATTTATTTGAATAATATTTAAATCATTCGTGTGCATTGTTTCGAATGGAGAGATCAAACATTTTAATTAAAAAAAAAAGTGAAGATTCATTACAGAGAAGTAATGACGTTATAATATTCATTTCGTCAACATTGATTTCGATCGTAAATATTACGATTTGTAATAGCAATTTGTTAATTTATCTTAAAATTTTGATCGATTTGTTGCAAATCTGATAAATACGTAACATAAGAAAATATGAGCGAAACAGAAAAGTTATTTTCTCTCGTTATTTCCGATCTTTTTTTTTTTTTTACCGTCTAACTATTATTTATCATTTTGTATTATATGTTATTACGTTTGTTTATTTATTTTCACGATTTATTGATCATATTAAATTTCTTTTATAAATAAATAAGTTACATTTTTGTTTTTACTATTATAAACAAACTGGATTCATATATATATATATATATTTTCTTTTTTATCTCTCTTTTAATACTGCTTACTTTTAGAATTCATTTTACTATCTTTGATAATTTTATATTGTAATTAAAATTTGATTTTTTAATTAATATATTAACATTTATATAACATTTATATATTAATCTAATGTATATTTTAACACGAGCCTGCATCACGATCAATTTTATTCAATTAATACGAAATATTTATAATTATACAAAATAATTTTGAATTAAAATGATTTTGAAATTGATATCATCATTTTAACACTATGTCTGCAAGCTAAATTTGGTTAGTTCTTACGTAACGTGTTAACGAACGCACACTCTGGATACATGTACTATTCATTTCAAATTAAATTTCATCAAAACAAATCATCAACAAACAATGATAATAATGGAATTAATGGAATAATGGAATTAAAAATAAGGACGAAAATAAAATTGATTGTAACAAAATAAAAGATTGCTTTGTCGTTATATTTCGACGATTATCGATTATGTTTTTTATATTTTTTTTATCTGTTGCTAATTATTATTTTTCACATACTCGTTAAAAATAACAAAATATTATTAAAACTCTTTTTTTTTTTTTGGAATATATTAGATAATTTGATCGTTATCTCACATTATGTGCACCAATTGCTAAAAGGTATAAATATTTCTAATCAAAATCATTGAATTTTGCCGATAGACATAATTACAAATAATTATACTATTTTACGTTATTTGAAAAAAAAGTTTCTACGTTTATCTTATATTATTATTATGATATAATCAGATATTTTTATTAAATAGATAAATTTTTTTAAATAACAAACAGATTGTGCGGGCGTAGGATAAACATTGTTCACAATGTTGCATAAATTATTGATGATAACGTTATTTTTTTTCATATCTTTATATTGATTGTTTCACATTTTTATTAAACTTGAACATTCAATTATTCATACATCTGTTATTGTTAAGCACTGATATTAAGATAAAAAAATGAAAAATCAAATAAATTTTTAAATTCTTGTTGAAAAAAAAAGTATATACTGGGAAAAAATAATTTTTGAGAATCGATTACGTTTGATTGGATACGCAATAATTAAAAAATAATTAAAAATCTCGAATCCTATCTCGTTTTAAATGCAAAAGCGATTTTTTTGAAAAATAATATATTGGATTATCCGTTTAACGATATTTGTTATATTAATTTGATATAAATATATATATAATTTCAATTCAATTATTTTTAATTTTATTTATGTTTTTCTTATTTACTGATGATAACACTGTTTATAATTTTTAAAATTTAAGAAATATCATATTTAATATTCGTGTTACGTGGCATTTTTTAATAAATAATATTTTTATTCAACGAATCGAATATAGCAATATAGCATGATACGACAAACAAAACAATTTTATAATTAATAACTAATAACAAGGATTCGAAGCGTATATTAAAAAGAATACACATTATAGTGCATATAATATCGATTAAGTTATATTGAAAACAAATAAAATATGAAATTTTCATTCATAAATGAAGTGGAAATTTTTCTGGTTTTTTCTGAAAGAAAAAACATGGAATGAAAAAATGGATATTTCTTTTTTTCACTTTTATACATGCATATATATATATATATATCTGTTATAACTTGATATAAATTATACATATATAAATATATATATATAATTTCAATTCAATTATTTTTGATTTTATTTATTCATATATGTTTTTCTTATTTATTGATGATAACACTGTTTACAATTTTTAAAATTTAAGAAATATCATATTTAATATTCGTGGCATTTAACAAATAATATATCTGGATAAAAGGTTGTACAGTAAAGAGAAGAAGATAAAGGAATATACAAATTTGAAAAAGAAAAAAAAAGAACAATAGGGTCAGATGTATACATTGTAATTGGAGGCGGTTGTCCGGGACTTGAGAGTACTGTGTGCCAGTTTAGTTCACGGACACCAAATTAGACACGGTCTATTTTTGAACAACTTATAGTTGCTTGTTCCAATTTACTGATTACTCATACCAGGAACTGTACAGCAAAATTAAATGAGGGATATCCAATGCTTAATGCAATAACGTTTCCAATTAAAAATTGTTCCACACAATTGTGAAGGGATGAAACGGAAGGGCAAAAGGATCAGGAAACGAACCATTCCTCCCGTTCGAAATTAATCCATCAACGTTATTTTATTTCACCTGTTCCAATTAATTTACAATCGATACAAAATTTACTCGTAGAATTAAAAAAAAGTATTTTTATTAATTTTTCACTACTTCGTGCAACTATAACGCGTATACAATTAATCGACATATTTATTTTTGGAATAATTAATCAATCTTTAAAATGATTGTTGACTCGTATTCCGAAACAATTAAACAGATTAATTTGTGACAAATATAAATGTGACAAATTTCAGGTAGCGAAGAGGTAATTCTATCAAGATGTCAAGACCGATCCTAAGCAGACCGCGCACGCGCGTGTATGGATGCAACTATGACAAGGGGGAGTCGTATTATAAGCCAATGGTCGATCACTTGGATCGAAAGTATAGCTCACGACCACTTTTTTCCGAACCAAGAACTTCGTTGGCTGACGAGATCGCAGCCCGACGAGGCGACATCGGTAACATCTTCAGTCGTTTTCCAAAATGGTTTTGAGGAGTGTACTATTCCTATTCCTTCCTTCCTTCCCCCCCCCCTCTCTCTTAACTGTCGGTAGCCAGTAACATTTTTTTCCCGTTGTCGAGTAAGAAAACCGCTGGATCACCTTTTCGGCATGTCCGATCCAATTCCTAATGTGAAACGAATGTATATTGTTTTATATCCGCGCTGTTGTACAGCTACACGCAAAAGAAAGAAGGAAAAAATTTTATTCCATAAACAATCAACAATAAGAGAAATACTCATAATAACAAGATAAAATAAAATCGTGACATAAAGCTGCACAATCGTCTAATGATTTATTACATCCTGTGACACGAAGACTTTCAATACTAGATATCGTTTCTTCTCCCTTCTTAACATTAACATTCAGCAATTGATATCTTACCATTCTCGTAAAAAGAAACTTTTAAATAATCACGTGCGTTAATACAAGGAACACAAAGGTGCACAATTAATTAACACTATTAATTATAAATACTCACGTAATATATCGATTCGAAGAGGGAGCACGCAACGCATCGAAAGTCGAAAAGTGTCGTCTCGGAAATATAATTGTGAACAGGCGTGATTAATACAAAGATCAACACAAAATGTCTTATCTGTTCCCCTCCCCAACATATTTTGAGATGTCCGTTTTTACAGGCACCCTCCCCGTGCGCAACAGTCCCGTCGGGCGTGACCTTGACCTTGAATCAGATCCTTCCATCCGCGGCCCACAATTACCCACCGCGCTACCCTCCCTGGCCGCCGCCGACGAGTTGTCCTCCGTCGAAGACGAGGATGTTGTATACGACAGCCGTGGGCAGCGTAGCCGGCGTCGGTTCGCTGAGAATTTTGCCAACGATGTCGTGGCCACCACGCAACATTTGAAAGCGAAGCTGGCCGCGATCGGGTTGGAGGACGAGGTCGGCGAGGTTCTGGGGAAAGCGCGGCACGGCCGGTTGAGGAGGAATCTTGATCAGGATATTAAGTCGATCGGCGAGGAGGCGGAGGCCACGTTTAAAAGGCGTTCCAAACTGTTCGACGAGATCGACCGTTTGGAGGAGGGCGGGCCGTTGGTAGCGAAGAAATGGTCGAGATTGATGGACGAGAACGAGAACTCGGCCGCGAGCGCGGCCGCGAGCAGAGCGAAACAGACGAAGGCTCGTCTGAACGACCTCGAGTCCGAGATGGAGGAGCTTGCGGAGAGGCAGGCGAAACGAGAGCGCAGGGCGGCCGGTCTCAGAGCGTTGATCAACGAGAATATTGCCGACACGAAGGAGAATATGCAGGAGCAGTCGGTTGTTAGCAAAAAGTCTGTCTCCATCCGTCGAGCCGAGAAACACGTCGCTTTTTAAATCGCGAGTTCTATATATGAGATTAATTGTTTGTTAACCTGAGGTATGATGATGATGATGATGATGATCGTGTTTTGTTTCATACAAAAAAAAAAAAGAAAGAAAGAAAAGAAGGAAAAAAAAAGTACATATGTGTATATGTATCGTGGAAGACCATATTCACGTGAATCTCCCCCTCTCCTGTTTTGCCATTTTTAATGTAATCTATTTTTGATGATTTGTTCCTAATGATCCTACGAATATTCTTTGTATTGCATCGTGCATCATTTGATCGTCCCTCTCTTGCCCGTTGAACAGGATATATAATAATACGTCAGGAACGAACATGTATTCACCGTCACACGAATAATATTTGATATCTGTACAAAGTAGGACATTAGCAATAATCGTGAGAATATAATTTTAATATATGAATTATTTTATATATATATATATATATATTCAATTATAACGTGTAATAGATTCTTTGCACGGCGTATATTATTATATACATATGTATATATACACGCAATACAACGTTACATGATGATATTTATTTTACGTACTTTAATTTATATGATATTTCATTGAAAGAAGATATAATTTATAATATATTTGAATATTCAATATCTCGTTTTCGTGAATTCTATTTAAAATGAAGATATATATATATATATGTATCTATTTATCTATGTAAAATCCAGTAAAGGATTTTAATTTTATTTATATACTACTTACTTTTAGGGTTCAAATTACAAGAAAGACATTGTCCTAATGTTATTGTATGTATGCACTCTTCTTATTTGTAAATAAATTTTGTTCTTTATTCGTGCCATGATATGTTTGCATGTTGTATAATCACTCATTTTTCCAAAATATTCCTCTTCTCTCTTTTACCTTGTATATATAATTTCAATCTACACAATCTCGAAACATTTAGTATATATAATCATCGTAATCGTGTACTTTATCTCTACTTTAAATTCCATATCCATATATATATATATATATATTAGCAACGATTCTCAAATAGTAATCTTTCGCGAAAATAGAAAAAGGAGAATAGATTTTAAATCAAAGTTATTTTATTTTACAAAATTTTTGAATTTCATTTTTTTGGCGGAATAGAATCGAAGAAGAAGAAATTCAAGCATCGTTTACTTTAACAAGATGGAAATCTCTATCTAATATAATAACGATTCAAATTTTAGGTTCTCACAATCAATCGGGATATCGTAATGACTTTTTAGATGATTTGGATTATATATACGATCGAGCAATCGAGGACGATTTCGAAGACGATTTCGTTACAAGTCAACGACGTTACAAGGAACGAGCTTCTGCCGCATTTGCCGAGGATATGGCTGAATTGAGGCGCAAACGAAGGGACATGCAGGTTATATTTGCACCCAGAATACGCATGCGTAGTTGATTCGGATGATATATTTATCGGTGTTGTGAGGTTAACAGGTTCGGACAGGCTAGAAAATTTCAGAATCTTGAATTCTAAAACTGTTCAATTATCGTTGCAGGATCGTATATTCGATGTGATCGATTTGAACGCAGAAATCGAGAAAGCAAGGAACACTCTTGAACAAGCGGATATTATTTTCCAGCGACACGCAACGAAATTTGACAATACAGAGAATTACGATGACATGAGATTAAAAAAATTCCCGAATTTAGAGGCATTGCCGGAGAAACCAGCGCCGAAAACCATAAAATTTGTGAAAATCCCTAATGTAAATATAGAACCGTGTATGCCACAACCTGTAAAGCCAAGACAAGACAAAGTTAATTTGTCAATAGAACCAAATGAAATTGCGGATCCTTTGAATGCCATTACACTGTTACCGTTGAAAAGAAAATTCTCGAATAAAAAGAAAAGCGTTTCGTTTTAGAAAAAAAAAAAAAGAAAAAAACTTATTCAGTTTAAATATTTTAAGATATTATTATCGTATGATAAAAAGAAAATATAAAATGTACCCATATCGTTTAATATTGTTATTTCAATAAAACATATACAGAAAGAAAATATTGCTTCAGAGTTTACTAGAATATTTTACTATAGTTTAACTATCTATATATTTACCTCTCCTTCTCCTGTTTGATCTCAGTTTACCTATCTAATACGCGTATACCTATTGATTATGAAACTTGACGTGATCTTTTAACATAAACGAAAAAAAGGATATTAATATCGAATGGAGAAAAATATACTTTACAACGTTACTTAACGATATAATCTATTTACTTAACAATACAGTCTTTGTACAAGTATTTGAGACAAAAATTTGAACTTTCTATGAAATTGAACATGAGTTATATATATATATATATATATATTTTTATCTATTTAAAAATGTTCATTTGAAAAAAAATTCTCACGAATAAAATTAAATAGAAAATTCGAATAAATAAAATTATCGATCGATCGATAAATTTTTAATCATTAACTTGGATGTAAACGAAAATCACTATAACTTTATCATAACTCATGTAACCCAATCCTGCCAATTCTGCCGCGTTTAATAAATTGTTTATATATACAGTTTTTTATTATTATTAAAAAAAAAATAAAATTACAAAATTTTCTGATACTTCAAACTGTAATACGCTCGAGTATGGTAACTGTAATATCTAGGCTCGTGTCTCATGTTAATTATATATTTCAGATCCGCGGATCGTTTCACACTCTTATCGACGTTCTTCTCGTCGTAAGTCCTCATTGCTCGTTCAGCCCATTCTTGTGCTCTAGGAGGTTCTCGGAATAAACCTTTCTGTCTTTGGTTCAGATAATTAATCACGTCGTCGTAATAATTTTTCCTGGAGAGAGAGAGAGAGAAACGAGGAATCTTAAAAGTTTTTTTTTTTTTTTTTAAAAATTAACGACGCAACTTATTTGGAAATAAATAAATTAATATTAGAATTTTTAATAGAAATAACATAGGAAGAAATAAGTAATTATGATACTTTACCTATATTCATAAAGATACGCGTAATTAAGGAAGAGGGGGCGAACCCAATGATGATTATAATGGGGTGGTTCAATTTTCTCTAATTTGATCTTTGGTTTCTCCCCAGGCGCAGCAGCTCCTTCAGCTGGGGCTCCTTCTGCAGCCTCTCCTTCTGCAGGCTGCTCCTCCGGAGTTTCTTCGATATCCCATGGCGCTGGTTCATCATCTGCCCACATATTTTTTTCGAGTCTTTTTTTCAAAATTCAAGCAGGACCTAAAATTTACATTTAATTCTTGTGAGACGTCAGTGAAAAAAATCAGTAAATAAACAAATAAATAATAATTTCAATCGTTCAATTCAGAAAGACTTTAGGAAGTTTAAGATTAGGAGCTGAACTGAAAAAAGGGCGAAGAAGAAACATTAGTAAAAATATGATTATTTACGCGATCTCTATTTTATTAATTAATCGTTATCAACGTTAACGAACAGATAGATGCTACGTTCCTTTTTTTCCTTCGATCTTTCCTTTAAGCTATATGTTACAACCAATACTCTAATTTGATATATATTTAGCTGATGAGATATATTTAACGAATGAAAGCAGGTCACGTTAAAGTACAACAAACTGTTTGATTGTGACATTGATTCATTATATCTGAATGTCGAGTATCTAATTCAAGAAATTACATGTTTAATCGCTAATACGTTTCAAATTGCTAGACTAAAATTTCTTGTGTACGCTTATTTCGATTACAAATAATCAATTCTAGTTTTTAACACGGAACCGCGAAATTTCATATTTATCCTGATAATTTCACTTTCCAGACACACATCCCTTGTATCTTTACCTTTCTAATTAAAAATATTCTTCTCCCACTTTTAAACAATTTAAACACGATATTAATTATTCACACTTTCACTTATTTATTTTAATTGTTGGTTAGAAGGCACGTATAACGTGTTAAAATGTCACTAACAATCGGATGGGAAGAAGACGTTTGTTTCTAGAGGGTGTAATACCTGCGATACGACAGCCACTCCACTAAGCTGTTCTTCAGACTGAAAAAAACGCTCCCGCGGACTTTGCCTTGTTTCGCTTTTATTTTAGCTTATAAGATTTTCCTTACCTTCCCACCGGTCTACCCCTTAAGTAAAAGAAGAATGCCCCTCTCCGTAGGAACAACGGCAAAGGAACAACCTAGAGAGAGGACGGGGAGGGGGGAGAGGTGGATATTTGGCACTTAATCTACTGTAATCATTATTGCCACGCAAGAGAACGATCAAATTAATAACTATTAGCCAATTTTGATGCTTTTGTATCGCACGACCTTTGCCCTGACAGAATGGTTTCGCTTAAAGCATGAAATAGCATGAATAATTCGATGAATTCACATTTTGTGAATGAATGGTTGAGAAAATCGTTGTTTGCAAAATTCATTCTGCAATACTTACACGCAATGGGAACGTTGAAACAATCGCGATTAAAACAGTTATTTTATGAATGAGGATAGACGAATTTATAATATGTATACTTTAATGTTAATTTATATTAAAAAGTTAGATCGAATTATGTATTAAAATCGTACAAGTTTTCTATTTTTTAATGTAAGTGTGTATATATGTATACTTTGCGATTATGACAACTTGATATAACAAGTGTTTATTTATAGATTCGTCACTATAAAAAAGTTAAATAAGTATTGATCAATGGTAACATTATGACGAAATAAAAGCATTGACACGGTACCCCGGTTTACTTACTATAAATCACAAGTTGCGTTAAACAGATATATTAATTCATAAAATGATGCTTAAGTTAAAATGAGAATAAGATTGAATAACTTAATATAAATGAAAGATAATATATTGGGATGGATTATAAAATGATTTTTATTAATTTTTAAATTATTGTAACAATTAGTAATACAATTTAATATTATGATAAGATTTATTACCGATTTATTAGGCATTAGAGCATTTTTATTTTGTTGTATAAATTAAATTTATAATCGGTATATTGATTTATTAAAAATATTTAAATATCCTTAATATTATATTGGATTCATTTAATAAAGTTTATTTTATTCGACTGTAAAATTAGATGGATAATAAGATTTAGTAATTCATTTTTGACAATTATTTATTTGTATTTTATTTGTAATTCCATATTGAAATTTAATTTTAAATTTTTCCAATACATTAACAATTTTATTTCATATATTGAAATCGCAACGGAAATATAGAATGTAGAAAGGAATAGATTTAATGTTCAATGTTCAATTTTTCCATATATGTTTTGCAATAAAATTAAGTAAAAATATTGAAATTAATGCCATCAGAATGGTATATATGAAATTAATATAGACAACGAAAATATAGGAAGAAGACAAAGATAAGATGAAAATATTGAAATTAGCGCCATCTTCGGGATGCTGCAAATAAAACATAAAAAAAGGATAGAAAATAGTAGGAGATAGAGTAAGAATTGATCATCAGCACCATCTTTGAAGTATTAAAAAAACTTGTTCAAAGCTAGAATAAAATAAAATAAGAATTGAAAACTAATACAATCTCTTGAATGTTTTCAGAAACATAGAACGATTTTTTAAACACATCTAACATCTTGAATTTTCAAAAGATGACGTTAAAGGCGTTTTTTTTATTCTATTTCTACTTTTTTATTATTTGTTTTTGTTGTTTATATTTATTTTACCAAATTCATTTGTTTTGAAGAAATAGTGTTTATATTTAATTAATTTTATTGTTTCTTTTGTTTAATCTATTGATTAAAAATCTTAACAAAATCCATTTGATTCAATTTTTATATATAAATATTTACATATTTATTTTTACATATTTATATGCAATACACAAATATTCATATATATATATATATATATATATATATATATATTAATTACTTATAT